GCCCGCCTAGGACATTTATCTGGCCTGCCGGGTGTTTTTGCCGCCGCTGCCTGTCCTGCTTAGCGGCCGACTTGTTCTGGGGCCTGCAGTCCAGCCCTCCAACAGTCTGAGGGACAGTGAACTGGCCCCCTGTTTAAAAAGTTTGAGGACCCCTGATGTGGGTCCTAGGGAGGAGAAAAAGAGGGATATGATTTGACTGTTTAGCTAAGAGAATCTGAGGAGGAGAGGAGAGATGTTGGGGGACTGCAGGCACTCCCACTCCTCCAGGGCTGGTATCCTCTAGGTCAGGAATTTGGAGAGGGCATAGTAGGGATGGCTTACCTTTGCTCTGTGAAATCCAGGGCCTCAGGTAGGAAAACTGGGAGGCTGGGAGTAACTCAAAGCTGGGAGCTGGAATCACCTGAAGGCTCATTTACCCGCATGTCTGGCATCTGGGTTGGGAAGGCTGAAGGATGAGCACCTGTGACTAGAATTGCTACCCATGGCTCTCCATGGGGCTTGAACCATTCACCAGAATGGCTACTCAGCCAGGCTACTCAGATTTCTAACACGATGGCCCAGAGTTTCACAATTTGATTGTCCCAGCAAGCAAGGTGAAAGCTATATTACCTTTTCTGACCTAATCTTGGAAGCTTTATAGCATCACTTCTGTGGCTTCCTATTGGTTAGGTATTTCTAGGACCAGTGCAGATTCAATGGGAGGAGATAGAAACTATAACCTCTAGATGGGAAGAATGTCAGCGAATTTGCAGACATGTTTTAAAGCTGCCATAACATGTCTGTTGTATGACTATTAGGATGTTGTCTCCAGGTTTTGTTCCTTTCTAAAACAGGCATGTCCTGGACAGGCAAGTTGAAGAAAGGAGAGTTATAATAGGGGCAGAAATGTGTTATCAAATTATTATCATTTGGGCTCACACCCGTAGCTCAGTGAGTAGGATGCCAGCCACATACACTGAGGCTGGCGGGTTTGAGCCCAGCCCGGGCCTGCTGAATAATAATGACAACTACAACCAAAAAAATAGCTGAGTGTTGTGGCAAGCGCCTGTAGTCCCAGCTACTCGGGAGGCTGAGGCAAGAGAATCACTTAAGCCCAAGAGTTTGAGGTTGCTGTGAGCTGTGACGGTACAGCACTCTACCGAGGGCAACATAATGAGACTTTGTCTCAAAAAAAAAAATGATTTGGCCTTTGGAGTCAAGAACTATTTTGTTCAGTGTTGAGTGCCCAGTGCTAGGTGCAGTGCTGACACATGGGGGGAGCTCTGTTTGATGGGCAGATGGGGTTGTGAGACGTGCAGTGCGCAGCAGGTAGCTTCACTGACCAGCAGCTTTTGTTGTTCATGGGACCCCATTCTTTTTCTTCCAGTCAGCTCAGAATAACATTCGTCATTGTATTTAATACCAAATCCAGTCTGCAGATTACAGATTCTATAGGATTTTTCTAGATGATTCCATTTATAAATCAGATTTAACTAGTCTCACAAAATGTGGTGCTGTGTGGGGCCTCGGGGGTGCCTTTTCTGGTTTCTTTCTCTTTGAGACTGGCCACAGCCTGATGAGGCATTTAGGGCACTGATGTCCAGCTTAAGTGATGTAAAGCCATGACCTCTGAAATTTTTGAACATTTGGGGGAAAGTTTTTAATGAACTTCACTGGGGATTTGCTGCCCACTTTAATGGATCTCCAAAAGACCTCTGAGATTATATTAGAATTGACCACTGTGCCAACTGGGAACATTTTAGAACATTGCTAATTGATGCTAGGCTTGATTAAAGACTTCAGAAAACAGGATTTCAGAAACTGCACCTGGAAGCTAATTTAGAGTATAACATATCTTGAAACTCATCCTGATAATACCTGGGTGGGGGAGATGACAGGTGTCATGTACTTCACCAAAGGGAAAATAATGGCTCTGGTAGGATATGGCTGTCCTATTCCAAAGCATCCTCCACAGAACTATGGCCAGTCTAGATTAATTTTGTAAGAAAAATAGGGTAATAGCAGCTGGATGGCCAGGATTTGGAGAGATTCCATCTTGACAGTTCCAGACCAGTGAAAACATATGCAACCCCTTTGCTGTTTCCTCATTGCTCCCCCCTCTGTATCCCAGCCAAAGGAAATGAGTGAAATGGTTTGGTTTGTTACGTAGCAGAATTTACTGTACATCTCATCAGACCTGCACACCAGAGACATGGCTTGTACTTAGACTTCATAGCAAATCTGCTGTCACTTTTATGTGGATATGTTTGAGAAAGCATAGGGGCTTGAGTACTAAGCGTTCTGGCATTTTGTCCATGCAGTGACAGCTAAAATAGCTTACCCCCAGGTGAAGTGAACCTCAGGAAACCTCCTGGGCAGGTAAATTCAGTGTTCCTGTTGGCTCCCAGATGGCTCTTTGGGCCAGGAGCACTGCACACATGGTGTTGTACAGGCTGGCAGCCACTTGTATATATCTCCTAATGGTACCCCGTTTGCCAGCCCTTGCCAGGAGCTGTGTCATAGCTTCCCCTCACTTCTTCCCTTCCAAGCCTCACATACAGTCATGCAGAGGGGCCCTCAAAATCAGTTCCACTGACCTTTTGAAAGGCTTTCAAGATTGCTGTCATATTGGGAAAAATAGGCAAACTTCAAGCTTGGTTCCCCAGGACGCCCTCTTAGAAATGACTCATGCCCTGGTGCAGAAAGGCCCTTATTTCTCCAAATCCTCTTGACCTGACCTTCTCATTCCAGTGAACCACTCGCAGCAGGGCTGGGAACATTCATTGGTCACAAAGAAGAAAACCCAGGAAAAGAGGGAAATAAATGGACTTCTCATTTTTGGGTGAAACCCTGGGCTTTTGTGGTTTCCCCTGAAATAGATCTAGGTCACATGCTCAGTGTTGTCATGAAACTGAAATCAGAAATACGGAAAGTCCAGATGTTTGTTCTCCACTAGAAAAAAAGGGGGCATTTCTCTTTACCTCATTTTCTAAATCTTCCTAAAAACTACAAACAAACAAAAAAGTGATATTTGATGGGAAAGCATTTTTTATAATGAGCACAATTTTCCTGGCTAGTTCTAGAAGCAGGGTATAAGCAGAGTCATGGCTCGGGAGCTACGGAGTATTAGCTCCTGTGAGACAAGGAAAGGAGTTATTGGCTAGAATCTTAGCCTGATGTGAGGGAAACATAGGAATATTGTGGGCAGACTTCAGCTTTGTGTCCCTGGTAAGTTTGACTCATTAGAACGAAACAAGACAAAAAAACTCAGTTGCTTTGTTTCTCTGGAGGTCTTGGTGACTTTGAAACAAAAACAAAAACAACCCCAGCCGGAGACAAGCTGCCCAATCCCAGGGGTGGCCTCCCACCTCAGTAAAGGGGGGCCTTTTCATGCCAGACCAGACAGCTGAGATTTCTGTTGGCCGGACGTGTGGACACATCATTTACTTCCTTCCCCAAGTTTACAGAAGAGAACTCCTTGATGGGAGTAGCTAAGAGCATGAATCTGAATTTACCCCAGCTTTATCATATCAGCAGGACAAGGTCACAAGCTGGATATTAATGAATTGTGGAAAAAAGTAAACTACTATGCCTGTGTGTGCATGCACACGTGTGCAACTGTGTGTGCGGTGAAAACTATAGAAAATCAGCTGTTTACAATTGTATTGACTTAACTACTTTCTGAGAAAATTGGGTTCTTGGTTTCTCCTTCCAATTTTCCTGCAGGCTGAAATCAGATACGCAGGCACCCAAATCTTTTAACTTCAAACCACTGCTGAGATGCCTTTCTTCAAATTGTTGCTCTCAGACCCACCCCCCTCCAGTTTTTGGTTCTTCCAGTTGCCTCCCTTGGCCCTTTGATTTCCCTTTGTTATTCGTTTTTTTTTATTTTCTAGAAGCTCAGAGTCAATATTAATTTATTCATCCATTTGACAAATATTTATTGAGCACCTTATTTCACACATTCCTTCAGCCTCTGGGAATACATCTGCAATAAGACAGATGAATTTTTGTCCTAAAGGGTTCGGTGACAATGTGATAAAGGGCGAGGATGGAGAGTGGCAGCAGAGAGATTGTCTGCTCTTCCCTCAGGGAGTGGAGGCCTATCCTGCGGCTCTAAGTTGCCCCGCGTGTCACCACAAAGCTTGTTAGAAATGCAGACTCTCAGGCCTCCCCCAGCCTCAAGAAGCAGAATCTGCATTTTGGCAGTATCCCCAGAGGAATTTGAGAAACCTTGGACTAGGAAATGTGTGGAGTTCTGGGGAGAGCTTTAAGCAAGGAATAAAACTATCCATGTGTCACTCTCAGAGACTTTATTCCTGTTATTTACCCGCTACTGAGAAATCTTGGACTCAGCATCCCAATGACACAATAAAGGCCCAAATCAAGTTACATACATGCAAGGGTACATGTCCA